GATATTTATTATCTAGGAGTATGTGACAGTAGTATGCGATGCACAACGGAATTAGCGCGTTGTCGTATTGTTGTTTCTATTTTATTCAATAGATGATGAAATTCTGTTGTCACGTAACTGCTTTCCTTCTTTCGATTTCTCTAATAAACTTGGATCAGTAATCGCCAGCCATTCCGATTCTTCGTCGTCAAGAAAATCATTTAGATTGTGCGCCTTTTTTTTCTTTTTTTTTAGGAACTTCAATCCAATTTTTCGCTTGCGCGATGCGAGAAAACCTGCCTTGCCGGATCTCTGGAATACAAATACAGCGTGATATCTGTGCTCGTCTTGGATATTATTTGTACTCTACGGCAGGTAGTTGGATAATACTATACATTACAAACAGGTTAGGCTTTCCTTTTTCTGCTTTACAGAAAACGTTTAAAACTGCCACTTCACACGTAATGCATTGTGGTTGAGCGTAGTTCTTTAAAGCCAAGAGAGGATCTGAGATGTGATCGCGCTATCTGTTTCCTAGACATAGCCTACAACTAAAATATTTCATAATTGTACCTCAGTCAAAACCGACTACGATATACAGACATAAAAGGCTCGTCATTACCTGTCCCAGGCACCTCCAACGTGGAGTTAGTTTCCTCACTCAGTACTTTAAAGGATTCAATAGCTCTAAGGGATTCGAAATGTCGATCATTGGGGGACCAATAAACGTGAAGTTGGTGGTGGCTACTATTTGTCAAGCGGTGTAGTTTGTCCAGCCCAAGCCAAAAATCTTCGGAGAGATTTCCAAAGCCATTTTTATAGGCATTCCAATCTTTGCTGAAGTCGCACGAGCCATAAAGTTTTCTTTGGAGTACTATCCACCCCCCACCGTCCCTCGTTTGGTCACAGAAAACATCAAAGGCACCTGCACCGTCAGGATTAATAGTGAAAACTCCATCGCGACTTTGTCCAGTTCTGTACAGTTCGGCACAGTCCTTAGGAACTAGGAAAAAATAACTGAACTAAATCTTCAAGAACAAAATTCAAACTCCTTACGTGTAAATGGGTTTTTATTCCGGATTTCCTGCTCTCTATTTTTAATCAGAATAAAGAGGTTGATAATTAATTTCTCTATTCATAAACAATACTTTGGTTCTGTGTTATTTTTGTTAACATTTCTATAAAAACTCGTTTGTTACCACTGGCTATAAACATCATTATTTTCACCAAGAAATACGATTGGGGGACAATACTCTCGTGTCACCGTTGATATTGTGGGAAACTCCATACTTATTCGTCAAATCCCATTTTCACTGAATAGTGAGAATTTCAGATATTTCTTAACATACTCGTCGATGTCCAAAGTTAACTCAACCTACCGTAATCATGCAATGGTTGAAATACAGAGTAAAAAGGGAGGAGAGGGTGGTTGGTGAGCTTGAGCAGATCTTAGAAGTAACACCTGAGGGATGAATTTAAAGAGTTACTTATTCATTTATGATATATGTTTAGTTTAAAGACTCATTTATCAAAAAACGTCATGCTTTGCCGGATTCTACCTTGGCAGTGATGTCCGTCCCCAACGTATCCAGGATTTCAAGAACAGTTGAATGATCCCCTGGTATTTGCACAAGTAGCATTATCCTTGCTACAATTATGGATATTCGCGGAACACTCGTCGATGTCTGAAATGACATCAAACGATAGGTGGAAGAAATGACGAGGCAAGGGAAAGGGTTTCAATATACATGCACCATGCGAGATCATAATGCAACCACTGCAACACCAGTTAATCCAACTAGATATAACCAAATCGATTTCAGATAAAATCATAGTAAGGAGGCGGAAACACCTATTCTTGCTAAGGATACTGGAAAGTATCAAGAGAACTAATATACAAATATACCAAACAGCAAAAAAAAAAAAAAAATTGAGCTCGTCTTCCATTATTTGATACCATGATATCAGATCACCGCAAATTTTTACAGCCATTTTCAATGTTTTCAAGCAGATTGGTATTTATACTTGCCCATTGATATTGCAAAACATTACGCTCTAAATAACTTTCATCACCTTTGCAGTTGTATCCGTCCCCTTTGAATCCAAGATCACAAGAGCAGCTGAACGATCCCTTGCTGTTTTCACAAACAGCGTTGTCCTCACTGCAGTTGTGGATATTCTCAGCACACTCGTCGATGTCTTATATGAAATCAAAAGACCGGATTCATAATCGTAATAATACTAACGTGGTGGTAATGGTTGTAAGGAAGGGGGGGGGGGCGGCGTGGGTTCATGTTAAAGTGTTTCAGGGCAAATTTTAATTCAACCTTAGTACATCTAGTTTTTATGGTAAAAGTAAGTGTTGAATCTGATCTTTAAGCGCAATTCTGAG